CAATCTGATTAAACATGAGCTTTATAGCAGAGAACGCATAGGCATACCTTTTCATGGGAGAGTTTGAGTTTTATGTGAGGGAATGGTTTCTACCCAAAAACAATGTTTGTTACGTTTTTTTCTTTTTTTGTTTAAGAATTGTTTATTTTTGCTTGAAATTTTAAAAATATGTATTTTTTCTTTTTTTTTTAAGCTTTAAAAATATTTCCAACATTTTCCTTTTGGAAATTCACAATTTCTTCCTGGAGAAAGAGTTTATTGTATTTCAGCCACTTAACTTTACACTATCAATCATTAAAGCCTTGGAAAACATTCAGATGTCCAACATATTGCCTGTCTAACTGTTTTTGTTTTTATAGATCTTCCTATTCTAAGCTAATGCAAAGCTTTGATTTGACCGCTGCAAACAATATTTTGTTTAAACGGAAATAATAGCAACTACATCACTAATATGTGGGAGTATATATTAAAAGGAACTGCAAAGCCAAAAGGGGAATCTTGTGTCTACCAGAGGACTTGTGTAGAATTAACAAGATGTCAAGGGATCATGTGCACCGCTTGAAAGTCTCTGTGTTTGTTTGTTTTGGCTCCTCTGTGCTGTCTGCACAACGAAAGTGTATTTAGGGGAAAAAAATGAGGTCATGGTAACATTTCTGCTTTAACAACAAGAGTTTCCAGAGCTGAATTTTGTTGGGTCAGGTTTGCTGTGTATGTGGGAATTAAAGTTAGGAATAACAACTGGACCTGGGTAGATGAGTCACTTTAGAAACTTAATAAGTTTTAGCAAAGGAAATTATGATTCTTTTGTGACCAGAGATAGAAAATAGATACACATCCATAGAATACTTGCCAAAAGAAGAAAACTTATAAAACCTATTTTTAGCCATTTACTCTATTAATCAAATTTGATTAATAATTATACCAGTCACTTGTCAATTGCTACAGTGTTATTTTTTTTTCCAACAAATTGTTGAGGGGCATTTAACCCAATATTCTATATAATTCTGATTCTGAGTAGATGAGAGAAAATACGAAAAAAAAAAAAAAAGTGTATATATATATATATATATATATA